CTGTTCATCTACCAGCTGACTCTGGAACACGCTGGTGGAGCCTTCAGTCCAGATGTGGTCCATTACATGAGCCCACAGCTGTCAGAGGATGCTGAAGCAGATGATTCAGAATATATAAGAAGTATTCAGCTTCTAATAATGTTGCAAACATCTATTCAACTTAATACAAGCTACAATGTTTCAACATTGTACAGCAACACAACTGCAGACTATTAGTTTTAACCTTCTAAGACCTGAACTCTTTCATGGCATGCATTTTGTATTTCTCTTTACTATTTGTTCTGATTGGGACCTGATGAATGTAAGAACAAAGAATTACCAGAATGTTTTTGACATGATTTTTCTTTCTGAGAAACAAATGAGATCCACATGTGAATTTGTTTTAAGTTTTGATAGAACAGTGAACATACTCGTAAGTTGATATCAGGCCCTTTATTTGATTTAAGAATTTAAGTAAAATGTACGTTTTTTTGGTCTAGACAACCCAAAATGTGATGTCCACATATGTGGAAGCCAGGTCCTAGGAGGTTAATTCAAGGCTTGCACATAAAATACTGCATTATCTGCAGCTGAAATCTAAAAACAATGTAACAAATAAACAATCATGAAACAGACTATGCTGTCTGAATACTTTGTTGAAACCTTTGCAGGCAACAAGTGAAAGTCTGAACTCTCATATCCTCAAATAATGAGTTTCCTTTTTTGTGATCTTTTACTGTAGTTGGCTTCATTTATTTTTTCTTTATGAAAGAGGATGTAGTACTTTTTAAAAAAAAATCATTTTCCATTAATTTTCTTCCCGTAATTTTAATGCTTGTTGTTTTTCCATCTGCTTCATTAATAGAAAGAAAGCTGTTACATAACTAGTCTGTCTTTTTTTAATAAATTTCCTTTCTATATAAAGCCTGAACTTCTTTTGTTGTTACTGAGCCAACTAATACACTTTGCTATTCAAAGAATGTACCACTCCCAATGTTCCTGAGCTCTCTTTGACTCATGTCTTTTGATACAGCTTGTTTGACTTACACTGGGAGCTCCTTTGATCACATGTTGGGAGCTTCTAGTTGCAAATGTCACAGTTGCAATCTTCTCCATACCTTTTACCTATTTCATTTACAAAACTGCTTTAGATGTTTTTGAGGGAATTAACGTTAACGGGAATTAAAGACAAACCCTAAAACAACCAACTGACTGAATTAAACCTGAGAATCTGCACAACTGCAATATTTTTTTTTTGTTTTAACTTCCCAAAAATTCCCAGTATAAGCTGTTCATTATGTGTGTATATACTTTTATATCTGACGTCCTACATATTATACTACATATTAGGTGTATGCAGAGTTATTATTCTGAGCACCTTTGAAAATGTCCAGATTTATAAAAGCACCATGCTGCCGTCCCCACGACACTCAGGAAAAGCAAAACAAGAAATAAGGCCCAAGCAGCAGAGCATGCTCCTAAATAAACACAAGAAGGAAGAATAAAATAAGATTAGGGTGATCTACTGTTCTTTCTCACTAGAATAGAATAGAAATGCATTAATCCCCTCAGAGATATTATGATTCTGGTAGCACAACACCAGTTTATAATAAACAAATAACCAAAATGGGTACAAATAACTGACTTCCTTAACATTTAGTTTTATATTTCACATTCGAAACTTCCTTGTACTGAAAAGTATTAGGATACAAAATCAAATAAGATGAACTTGGAAGAACCTTTCACAGGGTAGGAGAAGTAATGGATTTCAAACCTCTCATTTGGGCATTGCTTTAATATTCAGTCATTCATTTTAATATATGTCTAGATACCAAAGTTCTTTTTTTTATTCCTTTTTAAAGAAATCCACAGAAAAATAAAACAGAATAACTTCACAATCACAAAACATCCACAAAACCTTAAATTTAAAACTCAGAAACAAATCCAGACAGATTTAGACAAACTGCACAGCTAAATCCTCACCTGATGCCACATGCACATGGAGCCAACCGTGTTTACTTCCATAAGCATTAGATGCTTCACACTGATAGAGGCCATTTAGATCGGAGTTTAGACTCAGCAGTTGTAGTTTTGCACCCTCCACTCTGACAGCAGACTGCAGCAAAGACTCTCCAGATCTGGAAAAACATGAAAGGGCAACAACATTAAATGCACAGAGAGGGTAAACAAAATATGAGTTGTGCCAGAAGCAGAATAAATTTGAATTATTATCTTTTGCTCACACCAGGATTTTTTGTTGTTTCATTTGAACCTAAATACAAGAGTAAACCACACTTTACATGTTAATTTCTGCTTTTGTGAAGACAACCTTAGTTTTAGTGAGGTTTCACACCACACTCCTTGTTTCTACAAGCAGACTCCTGCTAACTCTGTGTTCACGTTCAGGGAATCAGTCAGCAACTTAAGAAAATAAAACATTGACAAATGTCTTCAATTATCTTAATGATTTGAAAGCATTGACCCAAGTATTCAATAATATGCAGCCAAACAGTATCAAGTTTTAATACCAAACAATAAAACAATTAAGTTTCACCACAGGGTCCATCAAGCTCGCAGTTACGTCACATGATTAACACCAGTGGAAAGAAGAAGAAGAGCTTGCTGTCTTAAGCAGTGGAAAAAATCAATTAATGTAGTTTTAGAGCTACTTACTGCAAAAACGAAAACACTTAATATTTAATTAAACACACAAACACTGCATTTACCAAGAGCTTCTCACTTTTAATGGATCAGCAGTGAAATATAGACAAAGAAGCTTCAGTACAAATAAAACTGCTTTGCGTGTGAAAAGAATATTGTAATTTGCATGTTTCATTGTAATTTCACTGTCGATTTATGAATATATTTTGAAAGAATGGAGCTTAAATGCTGAAGATATTTAATGAAGTTTTACAGAATCAGTTATAATAACACATTTACACAGATTCTCTTGTTATAAATATGAGTTTCTTTTACTTTTTCTGGTTTATGCTGCTCTATTTGGTAGTTGTAAAATGTAAATATACTTTTGCACCCTTTACTCCAACTCATTTGATAATTCAAACAAACATTGCTTAATTTTAGGGATCAGTATTTCATATTGCTACGTCCTAACTTTTCATCCAGTGACATCACCTCTTGGTTCAAACAAGACCATTTTTTCATCATCTTGTCTGGTGAGCTGAAACAGCCCATGCAATCCTCCACAGTTCCCAACAACACTACTGCAAACCCAAACACTGTCCAGGTCTCCACCCAACAATCCATACTCAGAGAAGTTTGAAATTTTCTTATATTGCAGTGGATGTACTTTAATGTCACAATGTCCCTTGACTACTGTACAAGGAAAAAGCCATACAAACATATCTGCTCTAATCTATCACTGGACTTGGCATTGGTTAAACCTTACACTTTTTCTCTAGATAAAACGTAAACATGAAATAATTAAAAAAGGGGATTTATAGCCATCATTTTTATTGTGCTTTTAAGCCAAAGAAGGCATGATTCATGACTGTACTCGATCAATTCACTGACCAACAGGATGCCAGTGGAAAATACACTGCTGATGGCCTTCAGCTTTTGGCCCATCTTCTGTGGAACCAGCTGCCAGTTTGGATTCAGGAGACAGACACCCTCTCTGCTTTTAAGATTAGGCTTAAAACTTACCTTTTTGCTAAAGCATATAGTTAGGGCTGGCAAACGATGATTCAAATTTGGTTAAGCCACATACCTCAGATTGATAATGTTCTACCTAAATGTAAGAACTTTTTACCAATTTGTAAACAATAATTAAAAACAGCAAAAGGCAAATGTACATTTCTGGATAATATAATAGTACTGCAAAGACAATCAACAGGAACTCTTACATATTGTTTCACTCACAGTTGGTATATATATTAAATGAGGATATTTAAATCCATCCAACCTTCAACACATATATGGGCAGCATCTATTCATTCCTATACATCCTATACATACACAAAGGAAATGCCTCAAACATTCCAACACCCAATCAGAGGACTAGTGAGATTTACTTGACTAATGTGCATATGTGTGCTAGGAGTCAAATGTCATTTGCAGAATCACTACTTTTACATACAAAAATTACATTATCAACCACATTCAATATGTATTAAATAAATAAGAAATAGGAATACAAAGTCGCTGTGTAATGAAACTCATAAGTTAATAAATAAAATGTGCAAGCACCTGCATAAACAGCATAACAAAGCCAAGCTAGCCAAGACCTCATAGGGATGTTAAAGCTTAGTGAATGATGAATCTAGACCAGCAGCCAGAGCCTGAACTTCAACAGGTAAAAACTGATGAGCAATCCATTTCTACCTGTTCAAGCTTCTACAGTCAAATTCCCATGGCAATTGCTTTGTGCCAATTTTCATCTTTTCCTTGCGTTGTCAGCTTTGTGTTTATCCCCAAATTGAACAAAGAAAGATCATTATATGTCCTCATTAGGATAGAGATTTGTGTTGGTGTGTGCGATGTAGTCTATAGGTTTACATTATTACATTTTAATAGAGAAGCAATGAGTTTCAGGTCATTTTATGGAAAAATATTTATTCCCAAGTGGACCATTACAGCTTTTGCTATAACGACCCAGTTGATAGTCATATTTTAATAGATTTTTTATTAGGATGTTTCTATTTTCAGTTATTACAATCTCAACGGACAGAAAAAGGATATAGTCAGAAAAAATGCAAAAGCCATGTAACCAGTTTTGTTGCAAATTACTTTCTCCTGGGAGTAAGGAGCTTACAGGATTACTTTTTTGAAAAGTGTTCCCTGCAAAATATGTAATACATTTTTTTTTTAGTAACGACTCCAACACTGATCACAACAAAGAGGAGAAATACCTCCAAAATGCACTTAAATTTGACCACACAGCATGCAATTTGATTTAATCTGCATGAATGTAGTGTCTTTGATATGCTGCTTAGAGCTGGTGGCGATTCTCAAAGCGGACCAAATGAGAATTGATAAGGAAGCTCATAATTCATCACTCGCTATAATGTTAATGTGATGTTAAAGTGGAAAACCAAAGTAATAAGTTCTGGTGGCACTAGCTGTCTTTGTTACAGAAACTCACAAGAATTCAAATCCACTGAGGAGGCAAGGAGGCCTCCAGACAGTCATATCCAAGATCAATTAATCTAATTTCATTAGTTTGACTAATACTCCAGGAGGAGTAGTGATTCTTGTGAACATGGAAAAGTGCACCTAAAGCAAAATATATGACCTTGAGCACAATTTCTGTAAATACCCATTAGGTTATAACTGTGCATATTTCACTAAAATATGAAGTGAAAATATGAAAAAAAGTGCATAAAATCCAAAATGGCAAATTGTTGCATTTTCTGTGACATCCTCCTGAGAACCACCCCGTTCATTCCTTCCTTCCACTTAAAGTGTTTACACTGAGTTCTCAACTGATATCATAGTTTGGAGCTTATTTTCCAAAGTTCACTGCCAACACCACTAAAACTACTTTTAATAACATCTAGTATAGTTAGTATAATTGTAGCTTAATATACTTCTCTCTCTCTCTCAGCATTTAAATGAATATTTCAAATGTAAAAACTGTTCAAATGACTTTACCTGCTCCAGATAAAGTTTGCACTTGGGTTGGCTTCTGTCAAACACTCAAATGAGTCCTCTGAAATCACTGTAATGTTCACTTCTGTGGGAGAGACTGCAAAAAATGAAGACACAGCTGTGTTAAACTGATGAAATACTAATGATGTCAAAATAATGTTTCAAATTCTAAAATTGTAAATGCTTGGTACTGAAGGGGGAATGTCGGCAGAGAGAGCAACTGAAATGACAAAAAGTGACATACATTATTAAAAAATACTGAAGAATACATACAAAGAATACATATATGCCTACACTGCACACAAAGATTGTAGATAGTGTATTGTACTACTGCCATTCAGTGAAGAAACACTGGTGTCTAGACTCAACAGCAATTGTTTCATCCAAATTTCTTCCCCTATCAAAAAACATCATCGGAATGACTGACTGCTCTAATATGCTGCACATCAGCTAAATCGCCTGTTATGTCAGGCAAAACCATAAATCTTGGTTTTCATTCAGTTTCTAGGAGTAATCCTCTAACACACATTCAAAAGTGTCACCGGCTCACTTACAATCACCTTGGACTAAAAACAACATATTAGGTTTCTTTTGGGGAATTCCACCAGAAACAGAACACCACAGTTATATAACATCACTAAAAATGAGCACACAATGCTTCATTTTCAAAAGTGCCTCAGTTAATTTTACTTTAAGAATACATGTATAAAACCACATTAAGCACAAATATTCCAGTATTGGACTACTGCCAGTAAATTAAGAAACAGACTTGTGTCTGGACTCAAATGTCTAATGTGGTATGACTTTACTGAATTTGTTGGTTTCGGTTCACATGGTTACATCATTTAGTCTTTTGCAATAATGGTGTAACAATGTCCTTTATATCAGTCTAAAGGTTGTCATTAAGTCTTTCAGGTCTTTCGGGAATTCTCTCTGTCTACTGTGACAACCTAATATTGAGAGACCTAACACAGAGGCAGAGTCATGACAGCATCTCAAACAGGGGGAAAAAAAAGACTTCTCCTGAACAAAGATGGAAACATGAGAACTTTTTGAGGATTTATGCCTGTTTTTGTATAAAACAGAGTTTGATCCTGGGTGTGTCTGTGTTCTTTTCTAATTATTTGATTAAACTATTAAAATTCTTAAATGACAAAAGAAGACAAATAATAAAATACATTAACAGCTGATACTCACAGTAGACCTGTATGCTGAAGGGCAGGGTTTCTTCTTTAGTCAGGGAGTCACCGCTGATGACACACTGGACCTGGTGACCATTAATCTCTCTCATAGGTACACCAAACAGAGAGCTGACTGTGGTAGTCGTACCGTTGTCATACTTGATGGAGTTTGTTGTCGTCCTCACTTTGTCTCCCAAAGCACCAGTGAGCCACCTCACCTCAGCAGGAGGCTTCGATCCAGCAGCCGTGCAGGTAGCTAATAAAACCTCTTCTGTGCCCAAAGTCGGAAGGTTGTCCTTGATGTGTGTGAAAGGAGGCACTAGGAGAGTTACAGAAAACTAATAATTCAATATGTAAGCATGACAGTAAAAGTAAATCTGACTACATCTCATATACAAATACATCTCTTAAATACAAGTTTTTGTTTTTTCTATACCAATCACTTTAAGAAGTATCTCAGTCTTCTGATTTCCACTTGGAAACAATGTGAAGATGCACGTGTATCTGCCTTCATCCTTCAGTGCAACACTGGATAACTGGAGGGTTCCATTTTTGTTGTTAAAATTCCCGATATATTTAAATCGATCATCCTGTCCATTGACAAACCGTGGTCCTTCCCTTGGTTGGACAGTGATAAAATTGTCATTATGAGGTTTTTCTCTGGTTGTCCTCTGCCAGGTAATCTGCGTCAAATCATCATCAGTGTGGATGATTTGGCACGGTAAGATAGCAGTGCCTCCTTGAACCACTGTCACACTTCCATCAATCACCTGGAGACCTGTAAAGAGCATGAAACACTATTAAAGCTCAGACCTCAGCGTAAAAATAGAAACAAGAAAGAAGCAGATTTGCATAAGGTAAAACACCAGTTTCACAATTACAGCTACAAATCCAAATAGGATAAATTTTTCAAAACCTGAACCAGGACTATCAGAGCAGCTTGGCGTCTGGTCTGGGTGAGGAATAAGGAATTAGTACTGTGCAGATCTAATCAGGGAACTGAACTGAATAGTCATATTTTTTCAGTTTCCTTTCAATTCAACACAATTATATTTAGAAATCACAACAACAGTCACCTCAAGGTGCTTTATTATGTAATGTAGACCCTACAATAATAAACACAGAGAAAAACCCAACAATCATATGAGCCCCTATGAGAAAGCACTTTGGTAACAGTGGGAAGGATAAACTCCCTTTTAACAGGAAGAAACCCTCAGCAGAACCAGGCTCAGGGAGGGGCGGCCATCTACTGCAACTGGTTGATTGAGGGAAGGAAGACAGGACAGAAGACATGCTGTGGAAGAGAGCCAGAGATTAATAACAAGTATGATTCAGTGCAGAGAGGTGTATTAACACATAGTGAGTGAGAAAGGTGAGTGAAGAAGAACTACTCAATGCATCATGGGAATCCCCCAGCAGCCTATGGTTATTGCAGCACAACTAAGGGAGGATGCACGGTTTATTTCTTATCTATAAGACTTGGGAGAGGGAATGCTACACATGGGAAAGTTAACCTTCACAGCTTTCTCACCAAGTCCAGTCAGGAGGGTTTGTATATATGTGGTCACATGAATTAAAGTAGCAGAAGCCAAAATCTTTTAATGAGAGGAGGGTTTGCAGCTAAAACTACTAAAAGATTTTAGAAAGTTTTTCCTGAACTAATAAAAACAAGTTTCCACAAAATGACTACAGCCTGTCAACTGCCATTAAAGTAAAAATTTAACCCGAAAAAACGCACAAACATTACGCTTAGCTATTTGGTGTCCCTGCAGGTAACAAATTTTTCCCAAAGGGCTACATGAGAAACTGGAACTGCTGTGTCTGTACCTGAGCCGAACTCGATTCTTCCCAATATCAAACTGGCTCTCTCTTTACAAACTGGTACAAGTAGTTGTTTTAATGAGACAATGAAAACGTGAAATAGGCATGGCAAAAGCAATAGCATTGTAATCTCTATTTAATCAACATTCCCAAAAACAAATGTGATGCAAAATGTGCCGATTTTCTGCAACATTTCGCTTTATTCAAAAAGTGTTATTCCTGTTTCGGTTGTACTTCACTTACTTCATGTTCAGTGTTTAAGTTCTTTTTGCTTGTTCAGTAAGAGAACTCTAGTCAGTTAGTCAGATTTGGACAGCATTAATTGTAACACCTGCCAGTTCATTTCATTTCAGCCTAAGCCCATCCAAGCATAAATAAAACAAACAAAATCTTTGTACGTACTGTTCGTTTCTCTGGTCAGCAGGAGCGCAGATATTATCGCCAAACAACAGATGATCGTGGGGAAATAGCGCGACATGACTTCTCGTAGTAGCATAAAGAAAACAACACGCAGCTTCTTTTCTTCGCTTTTCGCCCTTGTTATTCCCGATTAACTGCTCTGATGAAAAACAGCCCTCCAGGCTCCAGTACTGAGTCGTGTCTGGCATCCAGATTGCGAAGGATACTTCTACTTAAGTTTAGGACAAAAAAGGGTGAAAAAAGAAGAACAATATAATATGTACATCATAGGATTATCAGAACTTGTTGCGTCTGAAAAACTCTCCCGTCAGGTAGAAACAGGACCGTGCGGTGGGGGTGGGGGAGAAATGAGAGGAGGAGTTGCATGGAGTTTAGAAAAAGTAAGATTAGGATATTCGCTACTTAAACTGTTGTACAATTGCGCTTTGTGTGTGTGTGTGTGTGTGTGTGTGTGTGTGTGTGTGTGTGTGTGTGTGTGTGTTTTAAACAACTATAAAATGTTGTTTTGAAAGCAAAAAAATTCGGATTGCAAATATGTTGCCCGCTACACCCCAACATCACACTGCTCAATCATAAAAGTCAGAATGCTAATGAATCGGGTGGGTGGAAAAGAGACAGAACAAAGATTTTATTTCTTATTCCAACGGTGCTTATTCTACCATAAACAACAGGCCCTTCTCTATACCTCCTGTGCTCATTTTCTTTGCTGCTGCTCACTGATCATCACCTCTCTTCTTAACCTAGCTTCTAGGGTTAAGAAGAAAACTTATTATTTTCCAAATATTTATGCTATAGCTCATCAGCTTTATCAGAAAAAACCTTTTCCTTTGCCACCTTGTTCTTTGCTGGACACCTAACAGTACACCCAGTACTCCTATCTACTTTCTTTTTAATCTTTCTCACTATCTCACTTTGTCTTTAATTCAGAGGGAAAGTTGATCCCAAAAACAATGTTATACCATCATCAGACTTAAAACAGACTTACAAGCAGCTCCCAAGGCTGTTTCACCGATAATCTTGTAAAAGCAGCAGGCATGGAGCTCTCTCCCAACCGTTTAAAACAAAACAAACATCACAGACAGACAGTGTCCAATTTTGTTACAAATGGTTCAAGCAAAAGAGGAGAGAAAGACTGGCCTGGTGCATGCCTTAGATATGCTAGGGGTGCAGCTTAGTAGTCAAATGTAAAGGTTCCTAACTCAGAAGTACATGTGTATGTCACGGGCGAGAATGCGGTGGACTCAAGAGCAGACTCAATTTGCTTTGAACTGTATATAATTTATTGAAAAGAACAAAACGTGAACAGAACTGGGTTTAACAGAAACCATACGCAGAAACTAAGGGAAATCCGTGGGCGGGGAGACCGGCGTAGAGCACGGGGAGAACTCTAACGGGAACTTCTGTAAACACAGGAGAGAGATGTTACTGAATGGAAAAAAACGAGTAAGGGACAGAGGTACGGAGTGCCAGTGGATAGTCTTGGGCTTACTTGGAGACCCTAGTTATTAGGCGGGAAAAGGGCTGCCGTGGGAGTATTCCAGAGAGGGTCAAGAGTATGGAGAGTCCGGTCCAGATTCCAAGGAGGTGGAGAATACGGACTGAAGGGCAGGCTGAGGAGAAGTGGAGTATATAATCCTCGGGTTCAGAGCAGACGGAAGAACAGAATGGAGACCAAACCAGCACTACTGATGAGTGCGACGGGTGGTGAATCTGAAGAATACAGGAAACAAAAACACATTAACCCATGGGCCAGATATACAGAGTCAGAGCTCAGAGGAGGGCGAGTTTACCACAGATGGTAGCAGGACGAACTGGCGAGGAGTGGCAGGCCGTGCCGGCTTAAAAACCCTCTAGGTGGAGCCCCGGAGATTGACAACAGGTGATGAGCTGGCCAACTCCACCCCCAGGGACGAATGACAGGAACCTGGACCACGCCCGACCAGACACTCCCACAGCATATGACAGTGTAACAGCCATAGCAAAAGCCATCTGAAATCTCTAAGAAAAACCCTTCAATGCTAAATAGCAACTGTGGCAAATCATGTTTTTCATTTCATTCCGTGAGTTGCAGCCAAAAAAGTGTTAACAAAAGAGGGGGGAAAAAACAAGGAAAAAACAACACACATTTTATTTTCACTTTCAGTTTTTGTCATGCTCTTTTATATGACCTGGGCGATACAGTACTGTAAGAATGTACTGCTGTTAAGTAGTAGTCACAAGCTGTAGTCCATCTTTGTAAATTTGGAAAAGCAGACATGGTGACATTGTTAAGGAGTCAGCTGGAAGTGTAATTAGATCTTCTGCAAAGTCAAGGAAAAACTATTAGGAAAAGTAGGTAGTAGTATTGAGAGGTTCGTTGTTTTTTTGTTTTGTTTTTTGTTAATATACAAACATAACTGATGAACCTCCTAGCTATGGCCATAGACAACATAAGTAAAAACTGAGAGGAGGGTGGCTGTCTCAACAGCCTTTGTATTGCACATGAAGAACTGGAATGAGTGAGTGGCCTGGATAAAGAGTAAGAAATGAAAGCACAAATAGAATTCCTTTTTTTACCTTCTTGGATCACTGAAAACATGACTTTCTTCAAATGCAGAACACTTTTCCTTGGCTTTTATGGGCTCTGTAGAACAGAAGGCAGGTTTAGCACACAAGCCAGTGTACTGCTCCTGCATGTGCTCCAGTTTAACTGAGAATTCTGTGAACTGACCATTATGGGTTATACTTTTTTGGTCCACGTGTTTTTAACAGATTTGTTATTTTTTTATAAACATTACTCAACACGTGTGGGTGTTCCAGGAAATTTAGCAAGAGTAGAGTGAAAATTGTAGCTTAATTACCATAACTATTCATAATTGCAATACACACAAGTCTTAGTTTTACTTACATTTTTAATTATTTGCTCACTTTTTTTATTCGTCTTTTTTTTCTTAGAAAACACACTTCAGCAATTGAAACTCGTGTCCAGAGACTAAAAACAGCAGTTACACGTGTCATGTTTTAAGGTCCACAACATCTTCTGCTCCTGTCTTCATACAGTTTCAACTTTAGTTTGCATTAACTGTAATTTGTTTGAAAAACAGTCAAAACCATCATAGTCTGGCATTTTTTGAGATTGACTGGGATTGAGAAGTGCTTTTATTTGTCGGTTGCAGTTGCCCACAACTGAGATGACAGACCGTGCCAACCGTACATACAATACACAAACATCACATTGGGGAGACAGGTCAGGCTAGAAAAAAGGAAAAATAATGAAATGTGTAACACGGAAGGGCAATCTAGGAGAAAAAAAGAAATTCTGCTAATACTGGTCCCCAAAAGGGAGTCAGTATGAAGAGAAAAAGAAAAACTCCATAGCACATAAAGAAAACACAGACATCACGACACCTTAACACAGTAAATCACAGACAAGCAACACTGCATCTGGGACGCTGCAATCTCACGGTTGCGCCTTCGTCTGGCCCACTGTTCACATCGGATGGGAGGAAAGCATGGGAGGCATTGGATTTGGGCAGGGGAGGGTGGCGGTGAGGGCGTATCAGTATCAGTGTATGTGTGTGGGGATGTGTATCCTGTGTTCAGCCTGAGAGAGTGTCCTTTCACCTATTAGGCGTAGATCAACAGTTCGCAGCCTACGCAGGTGGCCTTAAGGAATAGGGCAAGATAGTCAGTTTATTCTTGTTATCGTATCTCTGGGAAGAATTGTTGTTGTCACCAGTGTGTGAATGTGAGAGTGAATGAATAGTGGCATTGTAAAGCGCTTTGGGTGCCTTGAAAAGCGCTATATAAATCCAATCCATTATTGTTCTCTTCGGCGTCAACCTTCAAGCGTTGTCCAGCTGGTGCCTTTTTAACCTGTTACCTGTTAAATGAAGGTTCAGTTTATAAAAAAAATAAAAACAACCGCATAACAATAGCTGAACTTGAAATCACAATATTTTACCCTCAAACATTTTATTTAAGAACTATCATGCATCCTGAACTCACCCAAATACTTTTTCAGAATCTCGCTCACATTAACCAAAGAAACTATGCATAAAATTAGTGCATGCATAAAAAACTCAGACAGGCTCTTTTGGGCAAAAATTGCATTCTTGGAAGAGTTCAAGGAGAAAACCACTGACTGCTGAGCAAAGGGAACACAATGGCGGGTCTCACATTTGCCAGAAAACATCTTGATGATCCCCAAGACTTTTGGGAAGATATTCTGTGAATCAATGAAAATAAAGTTGATCTTCCTGGAATGTTTGAGTCCCGTTACTGTCATGGTGGGTAGTCGGAAGGACTCAAAATGCAGACTCACAAATCGACAGTTCAGTGCATTTATTTACAGTGCAGGCAGTCTAAACAGGGAAGTAATAAATTTGCAATTGTATCTCGAGAGCAGCAGTGTGGCGGAGGTGTGGTCCCTGGCTCAGCTGCAAGGGAAGGGGTGTGCAGTGAGCTCAAAGGGGCGGTGACAGGAGGCAGGTGAGGCCACAGGTGGTGGTGACTGAACTGATGACAGTCTCTTTTCCTTTTATAGTGAAGCAAGAGACGCGCGCGGGTGTGTGAGCTGAGACCAGCCCTGAGTGGGGACTATGACATTGTGTGTTTAACATTACAATAAACACTGAGAACTGTGAACACAGCCATTGTGCGCATGGGTTCACCTTACAAGAAGGAAATCCAGAAGGCTCCTGAGCCATGCCAAGGGGATGGCCACAGTGTGGTGGCGATTGAACTACTATATGCCATGCTTTGGTGGACACGGGCTGTACGCAGACCCTCGTGTACCAAAGCTTGGTTCACCCCGAGGCATTGCTGCAGGCAGAGTGGGTGGAGGTGAAGTGTGCTCATGGTGATATTCACAGGTATCCTATAGTGCCGTTGTTGTTAGAATATAAGCCCCGCTTCTCTGGTGAGCCTGGTGAAGGAAAGAGATAAGTTGGGGTCGGAGGTGCCAAATTCCATCATTCCTGCCTCCCTCCATTGTGATAACCATCTCACACAGGCCCTGAGAGCAGATGTTGCCAAGTTGCAACAGCGCTTTGCAGACATGTTCTCCCCCCTGTCCAGCCAAATGTTGCTCATCGAGCATAATTTTGAAACAGCCTGGTGTGATGGTGCGTTTACGCCCTACAGGCGACCTGAACATAAAAGGCAAATTGTTCCGAGGAAATTGGCTGAAATGCTGAAAATCGGAGTAATAGAAGAGTCAGAGTCGGTCAATGCAGAATCCTGCTCTACCTTCAAAAACTCCTGGGTTTTTTTGTACTGTGTGTTGGATCATTGTCCATATATAGTGTCAGACACTGTCCAATCATCCTTACTGTATTTGGCTCAAATGAATTTATATTTATAAGTCATGTTAAATCAAAAATAAACATCAGTAGTACATGAGATTAAATTCTCAGTGTCTTAAAGAGGATGTTGTTCTTTTCAGATTATGAGCTTTTCCTCATAAGTGACACTTGGAATCCTCTCCGTACATTTTACCTATTTAATTTATAGCATAGCATATATAGAATGAAACTTGAATATATAGAATGTATGAACCTCATGTTTAGAGATGAAGTTTTTTTCTGAGTTTTCTTTATAAAATGGCATCAGCTGAACTGTTTCAGTACTTTGTAGAGCTTGACAACTGTTTTCCGACAGCTGTTCAAACTGCAAATGGTAGAAATAATTTGGAGTTTATATTGTGTCACCTTGAAGAACATGTTTTCATTATTGCAACATTTCTAGTGCTCATGAATAATGTTCAACAAAATGTTTCTGGGAGAAGATTATGCACGCTTCTTGAGGGAATTTATTAATCACTGATGGAGATGTCAACTGAGCAAACACTTCAAGAAGAAGCTGAAGCACATATTATGGGCTCATTATACCAATCTACATCTCAAAGTGAAATGCCAAGTTAAGTGATAAAAATGGAAACAAATTTATTCATAATGTGTATGGCACTTGACACAGTCAATAGATGGCAAACAAGATAATGAATGCAAGGAATAAGGAAGAAGTTAACATATTTGTTATTTTGTTTCTTTTAGAGGACGGAGAGCAATTCAGCAGAGGGTCTACAATGTCACTGTCCCAAATCAAGTGTGATATGTCTTTTTTTTCTTTTTAAATTCGATTAATATTAATTATTACTTGCTGAATTGCAGTAATTTAATTTTTTTGCTGTGTTATAATAAACAATGTTGTATAATGTCTGGGTTGAAATATTGTTTATCTAAAGATTATATGACAGAAGTACAATGCCAAAGTCATAGGGATGATCTGATATCCTCGTGTTGGTGTTGTTCCCAGACCATCATGAAAATGTTGTTCCAGGTTCAACATTGCAAGTGACCAATCACATTGTTGTGACGTTATTCCTTTGCGCGCCAAGCCATTCGTGCATTTATGAAATTCCAATGTTGCAAGGACAATATCAATTCTGCTTACTGTTTATTAAAGGGTTACGGTTAGGGTCAGGGTCCGTTGATCGGCGAACAGAGGCGGTTTCACGCAGCTTAAGTACAGTTTTTTGTTTTACGCCGGTTTTTCCCGAAGTCGCAAAAGTATGACGTCACAACATCTGATTGGTCACTTGCAATGTTGATCCTGGAACAACATTTAGTATGATGATCTGGGAACAACACCAACACGAGGATATCAGATCAACCAAAGTCATAGACCATATACCACACCAAACCATCACTTTTGTTGTTCCAACAGTCTTGGAGGGATCCATCCAATGTGGCTTAGTGTCAGACCAATAGCGGTGGTTTTGTTTGTTAACTTCATCATTCACATAAAAGTTTGCCTCATCACTGAACTGAGGGTCCTGTACCAATTTTTGTTTTGCCCATTCTGCAAATTCTGTGCGCCGATCTGGGTCATCCTCGTTGAGATGCTGCAGTAGCTGGAGTTTGTAAGGGTGCCATTTGTGAGTAGCTAATATCCGCCGAAGGGATGTTCGACTAATGCCACTCTCCAGTGACAGTGACTACACTG